TCCGAATTCCATCAGCCAGCCAGTGTCGACTGGTGACTACCCGGAGGAGGGCCTTCTCTGTGGCTGCTCCGACTCTCCGGAACGAACTCCCTGTGGAGATTCATACCCTCACCACCTTCCAGGCCTTCCGCATAGCCCTTAAAACCTGGCTGTTCCGACAGGCCTGGGGCTAAAGACTTGTAGCCCCACTCGAATGGTATGATTGTTGTGCTTTTTTAATTGTGTATGGTCTTCATGTTTTGTAACTTGTCTGTTTTTCCCCTCCCTTGAATTGTGAGCCGCCCTGAGTCCCTTTCAGGGAAAAGGGCGGCATACAAATAAAGTAAATTCAATTCAAATTCAATTCAATTCAATACTCTACCAAAGCAGACATGAAATACTTCCCAAATACAATTTGGCATTGTCTAGGACTAGGTAATATAAGAGCCACCTCTAAATGTCCCACCACCACCACCTAATTAATCCAGCACATGCCAACACACATTTGTGCCCTCCCCTTCAACACTCTCACCGCTCAACAGGATGAAAAGTCTTGGCTTGGGTTCCTTGTAGGATGGGAAAGGGCAGGCGGCCCCCATCCATGAAGGGTGATGCCAACTTGCGAATGGGGCTGCTTCCTCCACGCTGGCGACTCACATCTGAGTTGACGCGCAGTCTAAAATATGAGAAGTGGCGGGGGGAGAGAGAACGCCTGCTTAAGAGACAGATCCAGTCCCAAGACAAGCCCTCTTTGCAGCAGGCAACAAATCACAGAGGTAGCATCAGTGACCATCACGCAGCGCTGAGAATTTGGATGAGATCTACCTGCCACACTTCTCCTACCTGCTGGCGGGTTCAGGGAGCGGTTCCTCCAGAGGTGGTCCAGTATCAATCTCTAACCTGGAGCTGCGGGTGTTAGATTGTTTTTCACTGCAAAAGAAGCAACCAAGGAACCAAGAAAGTTGTTAGAGGGGTTGCTGTCTCCTCCCTCACACCTTCTTCCACAGTCTTCTTTTGAAAAGATCTTGGAGGACACTTAATCGTTTGACGTAAAAAGGCAGTCCCCGAAAGTGTTTCCCCAAAAATATGACATGTCCTGAAACTAAGGCCATACCACATTTTTCGGGTGGGCCAAAATATAAGCCCTCCCCTGGACAACCCCACCCCCTCCGGCCACGCAGAGCAACGCTCACCGACCTAGCGGTATCCCGAAGATGCCAAGCCGCGGGGACGGGGGCGGGCAAAGGTGCTTACGTTGCTTGGCGCCTTCGGGATACCACTAGGTTGGGAAGTGGCGTTCTGCCTGGCCGGAGGGTGGAGTTGCCAGGCAGTTGCTCTCTTGTGAGAGGGCTCCCGAAGAGCCAGGCAAAGCCTCAGGGGCGAACGGCTGTGTTGCGCTGTCGCAGCAGTGCAACACAGCAGGCATAAGGTGACCACGCTCACGAGCAGCTGCCCGGCAAACTCCCTCTCCAGCCGGGCAGATAGCCATTCACTGACCTAGGGGGTACCCCTAAGGCACCAAGCCACGTGGCGCTCTGCCCGCCCCCCCCCCCAGCTCCCGTGGCTTGACACATTCGGGATACCTCCTAGGTCAGTGCATGGCGGTCTGCCAGCTGGAGAGAAGTGGCTGTTCATGAGCATGGTCACCTCATGGCTGCTGTGTTGTGTTGCTGCAACAGCACAACTCAGCCGTTTGCCCCTGATGCTGTGCCTGGCTCTTCGGGAGCCCGCACACGAGCCCAGCCACCCGGCAACCCCAAAACAATTAGCCCTCCTCTGAAAATAAGAGCCAAGCCATATTTTGTGGGTCAAAAGAAAATAAGACCTTGTGTTATTTTCGGGGAAACACGGTATCATTTGAATTTTGAAACTACAAAAGGTGAAAGTGAAGGTTAGTGTAAAAAAAAAGAAAGTGAACAGATTGGCCTCTAAGAGTGACCTTTTTCAGACTTTGCTATATGGAAGAGAACTGAGATGGTAGGAGAAACCTATAACATAAACAAGTTAAATACAGGAGGAAGTGCATTATTAGTGTGAAAGAACCCTGAAATGGTTAGGGCGTACAGAGAGAAAGAATAAAAATCAAATCACCAGAGAAATATATGAAGAACCACGAACAGTTTGAGAGGATGTGGAATAAATTTATGGTAGATGACGTGTTGAGCTCTTCAGAAAAGAGCGACAGGAATTTTAAAGAACAAAAGGCAAAGGGTGCCTAAAGAGGTGAATCAACAGGAGACAAGAAGAGTTTGCAAGAATAAAAACATATGAATTACAGTATGAACTGTGTTTCTGTTAAGCCATAATTAGTTCCATTTCTTTTCCTTCTCTTTCCTGTCACTTTAATTTCCTTCTCTATTCTCCTGTAGTTGTGCTTTGCAAATTGTTACTTACCTGAAAGGGAAGATCATGTAGAATTTATAACTCCAAAATGCATTCCCACGACCACTTCCACTGCAATTGTCTTTAGCAACCTTTTTTTTTGTAATGAATATTTTATTTCCATTTCCATTTCCATAACACACACTCACATGTATACTATACATAGCCCGTATCATATAGTATTAAATAATAATTAGATCAGTTCCTCGTCAACAATGCCCAGAAAAATAGAAACCCATTATAGCTCTTCTGCTCTCCATACACCTCTTTCTTCTACCACCCTCCAACTTTCTATCTTCCTTCCATCATCCTTTTCTACTCTACTTCCCCTCCCTTTCT